ATCCTAGTGGTTTTGATGACTTCTGCTTGTATAGTTTTCCTTTACCGTCTCCTGAGCCACCTTGACGGCTTCCTCCAGCCCGTAAACTTTGCCCTTGACGAGGAACACGCCTGCAGACCAGACGCCGCAGTCCTCATGGATCCAATATTCACACGGCTCCACCGGCAGCACAGGCGGGCTGTACCAGTCCTCCACATCCGCAGCGCCGGCGTCCGGTCGGGCCCGCTTGGCTGCAGGGCTTCTGGTCCTGCCGCCGGCCCACCTGCGGTTCCCAAGAAGACCCTTCTGCTTTAGCTGAGCTCCTGGGCTGCAGGCCCAACGTCTGGCTCTCATACCGCTGGAAGACGAGTCCGAATCGCTGGAATCGTCCTCGTCTTCTTTGAGGACGGACCCGCTGGCTGGTGTTTTGGTGTTGGGCCGGTACCCCTCGGGGTAATAGGGGCCGTGGAGGTCCCCCAAGTCTATGGAGTTGGCCGACTGGCCGCACAAGCAGCAGACGAGAGCGCGCTGGTGTTGGCCGTGCTTGGACGGCCGTCCCAACTGCAGGCAGGAAGTGCTGGGTACAACGGCGGAGACGAAGCGGCTCGACTGAGCCTGCTGCTGCTGCGGCTTGGCGTCGGCCTTCACCTCCTCTGGGTAGTTCATTATTGTGCATAAAGCGTGGGACGATGGCTGCCGACTGACACGGACAAACGGAGAGAAGCTTTGCGACCGGAGCTCCTTCCTGTCCTCCTTGTAGTTGACGTACCTGAGCTTGATCTCAGGCTCCTTTGGGGAGAACATGGCTGACGGCTGGCTGCATTTGGCTTTTTTCCTCCTACGTTTTGGGGATTTGGTCGCCTTTGTCTTCTTGGTGGGAGATGATTTTCTTCCAGAAGATTTTCTTTTGCCGTCACTCTGGCTATCCTTTGAAGATTTTTGCGGCGACCGAGGGGGAGGAACTTTTGATGCTTTAACATCCACTGAGGGTCCGAGAGCTGGGAGCGACACTGGCCTCTTCTTTAAGCTCTTATGTGCAGGAAAGGGGGAGTCAGACTGGGATAGGGGTTCTGACGTAGCGGGGCTTCGTCGACGTGAGCGCAGGGGTTTTCTGTTTGGCCTTACAAACCGAGGTCTTTTAGCAGGCGGGCTGCCGCCTGACGCTTCTGTGCTGTTAATGAGTCCAGAAACAGAGGTAGAGTCATTGCAGCTTCCTGCATCGACCTTTCTGGGTTCGCCTTTTACTTTCACAGCTTTTCTTTTAACTGTTCTCAGTGAGAGCGAGGCCTTCGCCTTCCCTCTCCGCCTGCAGCCGGGCAGCGTCCTCTGAGAACCGGGGAATGCCGTGTCCTTCGCTGCCGTCTGGGAGGCCCTGGGTTTCTTACCAGCCCGGATGCATCCCGACACTTTATAGCGACTCGAATTTATATTCATGACTATGGCCTCCAGTCGGGTTCCTCTCCCAGAGCGCATGGGCAGTTTCCTTTCTTTTAAAGTCTTTTCCAGCACATTCGCCTCCCCGTTAATGTGAGGCACAACGCTAGCTGCGTTTTTCTCCAGCTCGGCCGACACAAACGGATCATCAAGCAAAGGTTGGACCTTCTGACCATGGGGCGACTGTTTACTCTCATCTCTGGGGTCTGACGCTGAGGGACAATCGCTGACTGCAGAGCTTTGCTGAGTGGCTTCGTCGTCAGCCGCGTCTGGACAGAAAGCCTCTGCGCTGGGTGAGCTGGAGGCCAGAGGAAGGAGAAACACATCTTCCACATCGTCTGCTGAGGTAGAAGGTGGAGAGACGGGATCCTCCAAAGGACTTCTGTACTCCCTGCTGACTGAACACAGATCTGTGGCCACTTTGGCGTCAGAGACCATGTTGTCCTGTTTCTCAGCCTCGACGAAAAACACATCGGCGGTCTTTCTGTCCTCGACCTGAGGAACTTCTGATGAGGATTCGCTGCTCGCTCCTGAGCTCGACCAATGATCGCCCCGTCCGTTCTCTAAACACTTTGCGTTTTCCAGCGGCTTTCCATCGCTGGAAATTACTCCTCCGTTGATCTCTGGAGGCTCCCGCACATGGTTCTCTCTTGCATCTTCCTCCGACGCCACTTGAGGTTGAGAGCAAAATGGTTCCGCCTGTGTGACGAGGTTAACGGGCTCCTCTTCCTGTCCAAGGTATTGCTGGTTGACTGCATAGCTGCTCTCCCCTAACCTGTCGTCCGTGTTGCACTGAGGGTGGAAGGAAAACCTGCTGACTGGCGACACGCTGCACAGAGAAGAGTTGAGAGTGGAGAAGACATGAGAGCTGCTAACGTAGGACAGAGTGACTGTAGTGTGCGATAAGGCATTGTCTGGCTGAATTTGATCCCCTGATCGAAGCGGGACATCTGAGGAGCCTGTGTCTGAGAATTGTAAGCCAGGGATGGCAGATCTGGGGCTTGGGGCCCAACCAGAGCCCTTGACCCTCCGAAAGGCATCGAGAGATGGCGAGGCGAGGAGGCATTCTTCTTCTTTCCTGCTCAAGTCAGTTACACCGGGGATGATGGAGGAGGAGATACCTTGGTGCTGTAGATCCTCCAAGCTCCCCGGTGGCTGCTCCATAACAACTAGAACAGATGAAAAGAAGAAAAACAGCTTATTTTATTTATCTTAAAGCATTAGCATGCCTTTCTATTTACCGTTTACTCGGTAGCGTGGATGATATTTTTTACAGCATTTTATTAGATTTTTCTAAATTAAACACAAAGATCCAAAGGAATATAAACATAAATTTAATCTTTAAATTTGCCAACCACTGATACCCGCATAAAAATGAAAAGAAATATGTTCAAGAACTCTCAAAGACTCAATCAAGCATAACGGTGGCAGCATCATGCTAGGGGACGTTTTGCTTTCTGTGCCACTGGTGTATTTCTTAAAGTAGAGGAAAATGAACTTGTCCAAAGCAGATAAAGCAGATCTGCTTCTGTCCCCTTGAACCCCAGTCAGCCTCAGCAGATGGCCGCTCACACTGAGCCTGGTTCTGCTGGAGGGTTCTTCCTGTTAAAAGGGAGTTTTTCCTCTCCACTGTTGCTACAAGCATGCTTATTGTGAGGGATTCCCTTGGAGTCAATAAGTCAATGGAATCTACTGATTTTCCTTAGATAGAAAACTTTAAATCAATCTGACTGTATGATCTGGTTGAATTGTAAAGCGCCTTGAGATGACGTGTGTTGTGAACTGCCACTATACAAATAAACTGAATTGAACAAAGCATTTGGAAACAAACATCCCTAAGCACTGATTTTAGCAATATTTCAGATTAAAAGACACATGAAGTCTGGTGCTAAAATCCAATTACAATAGAATATATGCAAATATTCATTAATGTGCGGAAGAGGATTAGGGCCATTGAAAAAAAAAAAAAGTTAACTGATTTTGAACTTTATTTCTGTATAAGAAAAAAGTCAGAATTTTGACTTTAATCTCAGAATTCTGACTCAATTCTGGCAGCTAAAAAAACATGTTAGCGACAAGCCGTAGCCATGTCTGTTTTAGAGACTAAACTAGCTCTCTTGTTTTAACCACCTTCTGCTCTTACATTAATTACCTCCCAAACTACTCAAATCTTTGTAGGTGAAGCTTCTTCTTCTTCTTGTTTTACTGGCGTCTTGCAACCAAATAGAGCATTATCGCCACCTACTTGATCTTATTTATGTTTCCTTAAATCCTTAGGTTTAGTCCAGTTTGTTGAAGATAAGATGACATGATTTTAAGTACTGTCTTTCTAGATTTATTTGAGAAGATATTTTTAATGTCCAGTTGTTTGATTCCTTCATGTTCCAGTCCTTTCCTTAAATCTATTCTTTGA